ATTAGCAGCAATTTGGCATTTGGGTTTGAAAGAGGGTTGAAATACTCTCTGCAAAAAATGTTTGGCTAATTTTTTGAGGATTTCTAAGGTCGTTACCCACTGAACTGACTCTAATTTGACATATGGAGCTTTTAGGAATTTCAACAATAGTTAGTGAATATGTTTCCATTTTTGGAGTAAATGGAGTTTGACTTTTCTGAAAAAAATGGTATGGAATTTCAACCCAATTTCCATGCCCACCTCGTAAGCACAAACATCAAATATGTTGCAGTACTTTACATATTTGCTCTCTATATAATTGTTTAAAAAAAAAATACCATACTCCATCAATATAAAAATCTCACAAAAAGGTGGCACTCCTGCATTTTTTATGCGGACTCAGGTATTATTACTGGCGCAGCAGCAGCGGCAGCAGGATTGATAGATGATGGGTAGATCTAGAGCAGTGATGACAGATAGTGTCGTCGATGACGTTTGATGTCATCGATGATGGTGATGTCTGTCGTTCGTTCGATGGTTGGTGACATTCTGCCTAGCTGGCATTTGTTCGCCTGCCATGCCCAGGCAAATAAGAGCCATGGTTATTTTAAATCGAATCAAATCGAATCCCGTTCAATCAAATTGTTGGCAAATTACATTCTTCTCGTATTCGTGGCGTTTTTGCCTCACTCTGGCTGTTGTTCTAGATGTTGGCTTTAATTTTTTTGTGTTTCGAGATTTTTTTATTCATTCCGTCATCAGTGCTTTGGTTTATTTTTCGTTTTCGTTTTTTGGTGGAGCACCACTCTTTGGTCTGGGATTTAGTAAATTGAAATGACAATTTCATTACGGCCACAACCAATTTTTGTTTTTAGTTTGAAAATTGAATTTTTTAGAAATGTTCCATATTTTTTCGTTAACGATTCTGTGCTCTGTGTTGTTGGACCATCCACTGTGGATTGTGGAGGTATGTTGATTGGAGAATGAATGTTCCTTGGAAAATTGCATTTGAATTATTGGTGATATGATAATTGAATTGAAATAGGAGCGTGAGGATTGAGAATGTTTCTCAAATGGCATTTTTCAGTTTTAGTTAACGGCAATGATGTTGGATTTGCATAAAATCTACAACTCCAAAGTATCCAAGGGGGAATTTTAGACCATTTTTCAAAATTTTAGAGGCAATTAAAAATAATAGAAAACGTTAATTCAATGATAGGTAGAAAAATACAATTTTGGAAAAATTAAGGAAATGGACGATTGCCAAGGAGAGTAAGTGTCGTTGATTTTTTTCAAATAGGCCATGAATATAACATATTTTTCTAATAATATTTGAAACATCGGGTAAAATCAGCACCTCTGCAATAACTCTAATATTCATACCTTCTGTGATCATAATGAGGAACAAGTTCCTAATTCACTGACCCTTTCCTCTATCTCTTTTATTTCGAAATTAATTAGCATCACTCTTCCAGCTATCAGAAAATGTAAATCTTTATGATTTAATATTTCTCATAATCAAATCAAAATATGTTACATATAAACACGATACGATAACTATCAGACCTGCTTCTGCTAATACCAAAAGAACAACCTTCTGGACAAATTTTGAAACTCAATAGCATGACAAAAAACTACCAACAGAGCAACAACCCTTAATCAATTAACCCCTCATAAAAGGAATCCCTTAGGAATTCAACTTCAACTCAGCGAAAGCCAGTAGAATGAACAAAATGATGTACCCTCAACCCCTCTCCCCCAAGTGGGAGAGAGAGGCGAGGTAGTCGACTGTAATTTATCTTAAAATGGTAATCGGATATTTTTGTTTGCTTTCGAAAAATTCATACATTTGGCAAAAGCAAGAGATAGATATCTGTGTATGTATTAGTTGGTTGTGTTGGTCCGGAATCCTGCAAAAGGATGTGCATCTGTTAACAACAATTGAATACAACTTATCTAAGGCTTTTTATCTTCAAATTATTTTGATTTACACTAAAGATTGTTGCTCTTTTGGCTGTTGATAACCTTTTTTTCATGTCCATATTTTAAGGGGGAGGAACATGTTTTGCCTTCCCAATACAAAATTTATCGTCAGAAAGTAAGGAATTTTTTTTAAATAAAAACGCGTTTTTGCCTCACTAATTCAATAACTGAGATTTTTTCTTTGGAAAATATTAAAAACTCCTAGGAAACGGATTTTTCTCGATCCACTTGATTCTCGGAAATGAAAGAATTCATTTACTTCATTTTTAAACTTAAAAATCCGACCTCCTTTGCTAAAATAATATAATAAAATAATCAACAGAAAAAAATCGATTTCAAATACAAGAACGTTTTTTTCTATAGACCTCAGTTTTCGAGGTTTTTTTTCCCCATAGAAAAAATCGGGCCTTAGTTCTTGAGGTATTTTTTTTATATTGAAGATAATTTTAAATATCAGACAGCTAATATCCGTTTCTTTAAATATTTTTTGACTTGCGTTATGGTTATTCAAACTGTTGCCCCTTTATGGTGCAGACTCCGAAGAAGTGGACCAATATTGTCCATTTCGTGCCAGACTTGGACTATATCAACTACTTCCTACAGCTTATATGAGATATGTGATATATATATATATATATATATATATATATATATATATATATATATATATATATATATATATATATATATATATATATATATATATATATATATATATATATATTTTTTTTTTTTTTTTAAAAGAATTGTTAAATTGTTTCGCAAGTTATGAGAGATATAAATATTGAATGTGTGACCCAGAAAGGGAGAGAGGGTGCGATATCTATCATTTTGACATCAGATCTTGCGTTAGTAGAATAATTGTGATACGCCAAGTATGAAAGTAATCGGATGCATATTTCGCATTTAAGGACCTTTTCGGTTATTCAAAATTTTGACCCTTTGTGGGGGAAGTACCAGAAGGAGTGGGCCGATATATCCCATCATTACACCAAATCTTGTATAAATACAAATATTGAGATGGTTGAAATTCGAAGAGAATCGGATGATTATTTTGAATTTTATGCGCGTATTAGTTGTTCATAATTTTAAAACCTTTGTGGGGGAGGTACCAGCAGAAGTAGACCCATATATCACACCAGATCTTGTGTTAACGGAAATACTGGAATGTGTGAAAAGTGAAGGGAATCCGATGCTAATTTTGCATTTTATGGAAATTACAATTATTCGAAAATTATGACCCGTTGTGGGGAAGGTACCAGAAGGTGTGGTCCGTTATATTCCATCTTCATACTTGATCTTTTGTTAATAGAAATATTGGAAAGTGTGAAGTTTAGAAAAAATCAGAAGCTTATTTCGTCTTTTATGGGCGTTTTGGTTATTCACAATTTTGACCCCTTCGTGGGGGAGGTACCGGAAGGAGTGCTCCGATATATTGCATCTTCACACCAGATCGTGTGCTAATAGTAATATTTTAATGTGCCGAGTTTGAAAGGAATCGAATGCTCAATTAGTGTATTATGGGCGTTATGATTATTCAAAATTTTGACCCGCTATGGGGTAAGTACCAGAAAGATTGAGCCGATGTATCCTATCTCTATAGAAAAAGTCTAGAGTTGGTGAAAATATTAGGATATGCGAAATATAAAGATAATCGGACTATCCCTTCACATTTTATGAGCTTTGTGGTTATTTTAAATTTTGACCCTAAATTTTATCTAAATTTTGAGGTACTAGAAGGAGTTGTAGGATATGGTCCATTTTTGCGCCTGACCTTGCACTAAAAAAATATTAGGATTTGCAAATTTTGAACATCATGTGATGATCTTGTTCTATAAGGTAGATTATTTTATTTGAATATTTTGGCCTTTTGTGAGGGGAGGTATCACAAGATATTGTCCATCGTCGACCTCAATCGAAGTTTGATAATAGTATTTCGATGTAGCGTGTTTGGACCAAAATGGATAATCTCTTCGAGAGTTATCATGCGCCCAGCTAGATCGACTCCAAATGTCCTGAAACGGATTTGGCCCAAAGAGACCTTGGGTCAAAACCCGATATTTGGATGAGGTTCGTTTTGGCTGTATCAAATGATAAATACCCTCAGTAGTTATATGGGTGTGGGTGGAAAAACTTGCCCCAGTTCTTGAAGAATTTATTTCTATTGGAAAAAATCGACCTGAGTTCTGCGGGTATTTTTTGTAATTGAAAAAAAAAATAGAGATCAGTTCTTTAGGTTTGTTTTCTATCGAAAAATCAGACCTCAGTTCAGTAAGTATTTTTTCTGAAAAAAAACCGACCTCAATCCTTGAGGATTTGACCTCAGCTCTTGAGGTAATTTTTTGCTATAGAAAAAAAGACCTCATTTCTTGATGTCATTTTTTACTACAAAAAAAATTAGGTCTCAATTCTTGAGGTTAGTTTTTGATATAGAAAAACTCCGACATTTGTTCTTAGGAAAATTTTTTCTATAAAAAAAATTGGGCCTCAATTCTTGAGGATTTTTTTAATATCCCCAGCCATATGGCTACAGACGGTATATATCATTTCTGTAGAAAAAAATCAGGCCTCAATTCTTGAGGAATTTTTTCTATAGAACAAATTAGGCCTCATTCTTGAGGTCATTTTTTCTATGGGAAATAATCCGAGCTCAATTATTGAGGCCATTTTTTCTATAGGAAAAAATCCGACCTCAGTTGGTGATGTCACTTTTTTCTATTGAAAAAAGTCCGAAAACAGTCCACGAGGATTTTTTCCTATAAAAAAATTCGACCTGAGTCCTTGAGGAGTTTTTCCAATAGAAAAAAATCTGTACTCAGTTGTTGAGGATTTTCTTCTATAGAAAAAAATTAGTCCCCAGATCTTGAAGATTTTTTTCTATAGAAACAAAATCAGTCCCAAGATCTTGAGGAAAAAAAATCAGCCCCAGTCCTAAAAACTCACCCTTAGAGGCTGAGGAACTGATTTATATCTCTGAAAATTTCTTTAGAACATGATTTTTATAAGAAAAAATTACTTATCTAGTCGTCGATACTTACATGGATGTGTTGCGGCAAAAGGATATTCCAGTGTTGGCAAACGTGGTGGATGTGGACCACATGGATGTAAAGCAGGCGGACATTGATAGCAAAACATGCCTCTTCCCGCGGCAGCAGGACCCAACTGGAAAATAGAATAAAAAAATATTTTCAATTTTTAAATAAATTATTACATGGATATGATGGTACGTGTGTGTGTTTGTATGTCTATAAGTGCATAACTTAAACAAGCTGCCTCCAATCACGCTTTCTAATGTTACCATTTGAATCAATAATAATTTGTATGCAATTCAATTGATATTCAATTACAAAAAGCGACTTGGCTGGCTGGCTGTCGTCGTTCGCATGGCTGACTGCCTGCCTGCATGCGGCAAAATATTAAAGTAATTTAGAAAAAATAAAATAAAAAGAGAGTGGAAAAACAAAATTACATCAATAAAAAGGCGGCTAGATGCCGATATGCAGCAAACTCATAAAGAAAAGATTGAAAAGTAAGGGGGAGAAGAAAAAGAGGGCATGGAAGACGCCAGTAGATACGGGTGATGGCTGTACCCAAACCACACACAGAGTTCCAAGTGCGGACAAATGCATTTGAAAATTTTTTGTTCCTCAAGAAAATGAAAAGCGGCAAAATTTATGGCATACACTCATTTTTCTCGATACTGCCGATATGGTCGTTGTTGTTGTTGCCTTTTTCCATTCATTCGTTATTATCATCATCGTCAGTGAGTTAATATTGTCAATTGCACCTTTAATTCGATTCAATTAGAATCAATTATGGTCTCGTCTCCTTTGTTATTCCACTTTTTCTCTCTCTCTCTCGTCTCTCCGGCCTTTTTTACATTGAGTTGTGACAAAAGAATGAAAACAAATATTGCTACCCATGACTGCCGTAATAATAACAAAGTTATGATTGCCACTGTAAAGTTTCGTTACAATCATTATTAAGATAAATGTAAAAACAAAATTAATAAAAGCGAGAGAGATACAAATCAACTGAAAAAATGCTGAAATGGGGGGAAGGGTGGGGAGAGACAGAGAACTTATGGTAGGGAGTAAGTCTCCATGGATGTGGAAAAAGGGTTGAGTTGTGCACTGTTTTTTGTTGTGTTTGTTAGTTATTGTCATTCAATTTTCCCTCCTCTCATCTCATTTGTAGTTGTTTGTGTTGTTGTTGTTGCATTTTTTTATTGCCGGACAATGAATTGATTAAATTGTCCTCAAACAAAGCAATTGCTTTAAATTAATTTCATTTCTTTTTCATATTGCAGTTGCTGCTCTGTGTGTTGTTGTTGTTTTTATATGTAATTATTTATATGCATTTTATAAATATTTTACATTAATTTTTTTACAATGGACGAAGAAGCAGGATTGGAGCATGGAGAAAAGTAGAGATATTCTTTTTTTAATTCCAATAAAATAATTGAACAGAATTTTATTAGATTTTGTAAAGGGTAGGAGATACCATATCCTCAAACCTGAAGAGGAAATTTTCAAAATTATGTAACTGCAACTATGATTGAAGAGCATATTAGTTTTACCATTATACCATGGTTTCTCATCCAAATTTTCTATACCTTTTCCACAAAATCAAAATTTTCAAAGAAAATATTTTACTTCAACGAAAGAGAAAATATTATTCGATTTTGTGCAAACTTTGCAAATCCCAATATTTTTGTTAGTGGTAGGTCAGCTGCAAAAATGGACAATATCGGTCCACTCCATCAAGTGCCTCCCCCACAAAGGGTCAAAATTTGGAATAATTATAACTCTTATAAAATATGAAATAGGAATCCGGCTGTCTTCAAATTTCACACATACCAATATTTTTATTAACACAAAATATGGTGTGAAGTTAGGGTATATCGGCCCACTCCTTCTGGTACCTTCCCACAACAGGTTAAAACTTTGAATAATTATATCTCTCATAAAATACGATAAAAAGTACGATATCCCAATATTTCTAACAACACAAGAAGTTAAGTACCACTTTTGAAGTTTTTTTACGAATTTACAAAAACCTATCCTGCACGGCTATTTGCGATATTGCCGAAGACATTGTGTATCTAAAATGTACTGATTCCGTGGGATATAAATCCGAATATTGCCAAACATTTGGAAGAAAGGGAAGTATGCCCCCTCTATTTGGATTACCCTCCGATGTAAGCTTTCAAAACGCCGATATACGGCGTGAGTGTAATCAAAGTACACCTTCGAAAAATAATATTAGAATCTGAATTTTAAAATCAGCTCGTCCATAGCATGTCCTTTCACAGACTGTCTTTAGATTCTAGACAGGCTAGAAAAGACTCCCTTTAACTCGACTGAAAAAGACTTTCTTTAAAAGACTCGCATCAACTCGTCTATGGCATACTTTATATAACTCGTCTGTGACAGACCGCTATAATCTCGTTTATGAGAGGCTCTCTCTCTGAAATTGTCTGTGAGAATCTCCTTTTAGCTCTTCTGTATGATATGCTCCCTTAGGAGGCACTCCCTTCAACTCGTATACAAAAAAATTCCTTTAGCTTACAAACCCCTCCTTTCACCTCGTCCACAGAAATACCTTTTATAAGGCCTATTCAGACTCCCTACAGCTTTGTAAGAAAAACTGACATTTTCTAAAATAGACTTCCTACAGTCCATCTAAAAAGACTTTTGAGCTTGTCTGTAAGACAAGCTCGTTTAGGAACGATTCTACCTCAGCTCACCTGTGAGAGACTCCCTTCAACTGAACTGTGAAAAACTATTTTCAGGACACATTTGAAAAGTTGCCTGTAGCTTCTTTCTTAATCTACGAAAGACACTCTTCTCGGAAAAAACTCGCCTATAAAAAACTACCCTTGGCTCGTCTATAAGAATCAAATACCTCTCCCATATAAGAACCAAATACCTACAATTTCCTATAAATACCACGGCAGCTAGTCTATAAAAATCACCTTCAGACAGTTTCAGGACAGTTTTAGCACAAGGACTTCCTTGTGCTCGTCTCTGAAACCTCCTCTATCTATCCTATTAAGACCCCAGTAAAACATGTATAACATCCTATTTCATTGACATCCTCTAGGTTGACTATGAAAGACTAATTTTATGTCTGTCTCTCTACAAAAGTAGACGTGTCTATGAAAGTCTCCTATCCCCGTCGTTTCTAAAGTCTCTTATCCTCATCTCCAAAGACTCCTTACATCCCCTTTAAAGAAATTGGTATAAAAGGCTCCCTACAAACTCCGGAAAACAACTACGAATACCATTTTAGTCACCCATTTTTAGCAATTCCCAGAACAAATTGAAATCCATAGTTACACATTCTTCAATATACACAAAATTTACCCCTGCATCCCCTCCCAACAATACCCCTCACATGGGAACCACTGCCATGTTCTACTAAATCAAATTCCAAAGTATTTAAATAAAATAGACGTTCGACTGTAGTTGTTGCAATTGATTTGAATGAATGCATGGCTGTCATGGATGTACGGCGGATGGATATCACTGGTCCCATATAATATTCAACAATAAATTGGCATTACATTTTCGCTCAATTTCAATTTGTTGCGCTAATAGAAATGTATGTAAATGGGCATCATCTATTCATTTGAAATCAACTAAAAACTAATTGTTTAACACCTCACGAGAACACATGCACACAAACAGCAAACTTGTCGCCCCCAACCACCACCCCAGTCATGGACACCTGGTAACATTTGAAAAAGGTAGTCCATGTGAAAATGTTGACAGCCCAGCTGAGTCCGCCCTTAAAACGGGTGGGCAAAATAACAAGGGCGGCAATGGGCACTTTATCACTTTTGCCCCCTTTCCTCCATCACTCCACCATAAAGCCAAGTGTTGTGGTCACACGCCATAAAATTTACAAAAATAAAGCAACACCAGCAGCAGGACCATGGAAACAGGACCAGCATCAGTGCTCGTAGAGAACATTTATTTTGGTTTCATATTACCAGAGCACCTGAGGTCCACAGCTTATTATGGTAGAGCTTTATATTTGGAGATAGAGTGTGTGTGTGTGAAAAGTGTAACAGTATTAGTTGGAGCGTATATCTGTGTGCCCGGCTGCCGGTTGCCTGGGAAGCCAGCCAACACCGGATAATAATAAAGGATATAAAATTCCATTAGAGTTAAAGTGTCATGTGTAAATTTTGCATAATTTTTACAACTACAAATAGTTATGGCATTTGGTTGGCTTATGTGGCTGGTGGTGATGGTGGGGCAACGGCTAATGTTTTGCCATCATCCAGTTGCTAAAAGGACTCGTGGGGAAAGGGAATGTTGGTTGGGCTTTGTTGGTTGGCAAATGGATGTATTTTTGTAAAATTCATTAAACAAATGAATGAACATGAACCGAGTTTAATTTGTTGCAAAATGAAAATTTCATAATGTTTATTTAGATGGAGGCACTCACACACACACAGATATCTACCTAAACTAGCAGAGCTTCCATTATGGTGGACCATTAGAGATAGAGAGAGGACTACACAAAGAAGATCCATCCAATGTAATGGCATGAAGTGGTGTGGTGTGGGGTGTTGCTTCAATGAGTCAGAGTCAGCCTCCATTGTTATCCATTGACGTGCATGTCGTTGCTCCGACTCCCAACGATTATGATGGCAAAGATGACGTTTTAATGACATGACATTTATTTACTGCAGCATCAACATCAGCACCATCTGAATTAATTTCCCATACATAATTTACCATCCATTATTCCAATGAACGTGAAATGCCAAAATAGAAAAATATATTGCCAACACAAACGAAGGGTGGGGTCGTAATCAAAAATTATTATTTATTTGGAAATAAATAATCGGCATTTTTTTGGGGATTCTAATTAACATTTTTGTATCACAGAAAGAAGGAATTTAGTTAAATGAAAATTAAGAAAAAATAGTTAAGAATCAAAAGTGAAGTGAAGAATATTCATTTGAAGAGAGTTTGTTTCTAGACCAGGTGAAGAAAGACTTTTATACACCAGCTGAAAGGTGTACTAAAAGGATTCTCTATCGACGACCTGATTTTCTAGAAAGCATAGAATATTTTCCAAGCTGACGGGAGTCTCTTATAGACGAGCCTGCAAGAAACTACTTGTTTTGCAATTTTTTTTCGATA